AAATAAAGACAGTGTTGGTTAGGTGAAAATGTGCTCGTTGTTACAGAAACTAACGAATGATGTCGCCCATTTTCCATTCAGCATTTACGAACAACATCCGCTGAAATTGAAAGAAATGACAGCGGTGTTGGTACAGAAACCAGTAAACCTAGTAGATTACGCCGGTTGATGGCGGTAGAGAACCAAGAGCGGCAGTGTGCGGATTGTGATCAACAGGTGGAGCCACGAGAAGGCAAACTTTCTGGAATGTTGTGCGATCCCTTGGTTTGCCGAAAATGTGAAAGAAAACGATATGAACGAAAAGAATTAATAACAGAAATCGTCGTAACCGAAGTAAAATATGGACGAGATCTTAATATCGTCAAAGAGGTAAATTACTGCGTTTACATTATGATTACTTCATTTGCTAATAAATTCACCCAAGTGTAAAAGTCCGTGCGAAACTTACACAAATCAAACCCGTGATCATAATGTAGTGTATAGTAATCAAAGATTTCTTAAAAAGGCTTAGAATACGAATGTGTTTATTTTTGAGATTAAATCATCAGAATACGTAATTAATTCTTGTATTACCAAATTAATTTATTAAAATTAGCCAATCAAACTGGATGTGAACAAATTACTTGCATTTAAAGCACATACAAACTATTATTTAATTTTAATGTATGTTTGAACAATTTTTAATATACGTTTCAACGAACAGTTTTTTATGTTTTTTTTATTATATTGTAGGAGTTCTATAGGCCGATGGAGGTCGCTGGTTTGCTAGGAAAAGAACAGTTACGTCAAATATTTTTGAACATAGACGAGTTAATAAGTTTCAGTGCAAAATTTGCTGAAAAACTAAAGGATGCTATTGACATTGCCAGAGAACAAGGTGACGAGGTAAGCAAGTTCATCTTTTGTGAAGATTCACAGATGGCGCCACTAGCATATGAAATACTATCAATTTGAAATATCAATTAATTAGTTTATCAGTGTAAGTTATACGGTTATAGCAATACAAATTTAACAGACTGAATAATTCTGATACTAAGATTCATGAAACAAATCGGCCGTAAAAGACTGAATTATGAACCTTGTGGTGTTTGAGTTATATATGAGTTGCAGTATTAATTCCGCTAATTAATATATTATTCTGATTTATTTATCAGAGAATCCGTTTCACGTAGGTCCCTTCTTTCGATCTGATTTTACTGTCTAGGGGTTGAAGTTCTCTAAATAGGTACAGATGGATGCCCAGTGGTCAGAGAAACAATAAATTAGGCTTAGTATTTATTTTAAGTATAAAATTTATCAACACATCGAAATGTCGAACTTTGACTTTCACATTGTGATCTAAACACATTTAAACGTCGATAACTTCCTGGTTAGTGTGGTTCACTGTAAACTCTCAGTGTGCAATTATAAGAAAAGATGGGTCCTTCTCCAGACTGTGATGGGGTATATCCTCGTAGTCAATAGCAAGGATAATCCACTCAGATATCTGTTTGCAGTGTTAATAGCAAGGATAATCCACTCAGATATCTGTTTGCAGTGTTAATAGCAAGGATAATCCACTCAGATATCTGTTTGCAGTATCAATAGCAAGGATGATTAATACGCAGCTTTGTTTGTTAGTGCATTGTCAAAAGGCACCTAAAATTAATATTAGGCTTTCAAAAAAAATACGTTATTTCAAGTTAACATCATGAGCTAAAAATGAGGGGATAATCCACTCAGATATATGTTTGCAGTGTCAATAGCAAGGATAATCCACTCAGATATCTGTTTGCAGTGTTGCTATTGACACTGCAAACAGATATCTGAGTGGATTATCCTTGCTATTAACACTGCAAACAGATATCTGAGTGGATTATCCTTGCTACTGGCACTCTAAACTGGTACCTGGGTAGTATTTATAAAAATTTACCGACATTGTTCATCCGGGAACTTTGCTGTGACTTTGTTTTGAATTCTTTCAGGACTATACGACGGTTAACATAGGGAAGTTATTTCTGGAGTCCACTGACATGCTGCATGCCTTTGAAACGTACTGTGTTCAACAGGTGAGAAGAAACCAAATTATTAATGAATGATATAAAAATGTGTAGTTAAGCCTCGGGTGTAAATCTGTTTTACTGTGCAGATCGGAAACACAAGTACTGTGGTATTGAGTGTTTATAACAGTTATAAGTGTTGAGTGTTTATCACAGTTAGAAGTATTGGGTGTTTATCACAGTTATAAGTATTGAGTGTTTATCACAGTTAGAAGTATTGAGTGTTTATCACAGTTTGAAGTATTGAGTGTTTATAACAGTTAGAAGTATTGGGTGTTTATCACAGTTAGAAGTATTGAGTGTTTATCACAGTTAGAAGTATTGGGTGTTTATCACAGTTAGAAGTATTGAGTGTTTATCACAGTTTGAAGTATTGAGTGTTTATAACAGTTAGAAGTATTGAGTGTTTATAACAGTTAGAAGTATTGGGTGTTTATCACAGTTAGAAGTATTGAGTGTTTATCACAGTTAGAAGTATTGAGTGTTTATAACAGTTAGAAGTATTGAGTGTTTATAACAGTTAGAAGTATTGGTGTTTATCTACAGTTAGAAGTATTGGGTGTTTATCACTAGTTAGAAGT